GTGGAACCTCCTACAAAAAAAGAAAAAACATTTTCATTATGTCAGTGTTTGGATCAGAGATCAAGTTTTCACTGAGCAAAGGAACATACCTTCGTATGAAATACGGTAAGGAAAAGGAACATTGTGAGGTCCAAGTTACCTGGAGAAGACGTGCAGTTCCGGTCGGTGTTCGATGTACACGTCAGGGTTGGTGGGCGTGGGCGGGTTGTCCTGGTGGGCGGCGGGGACGTAGAAGCTCATGGTGAAGTTGTTCTCGCAGTTGGGTCCTTCTCCGGGGATGACCAGCGTGGTCACGGGAGCTGTCATGTCGATCTTCATGGCTGTTCAAAAGCGGTTAGAACGATTTTTGAATTTGGGGATGTCATTCTCATCCTGCCTCTCACTATCCTTCTTTTTATTCTTTCTTTGTAGTTTGCACATCTACTTTGCAATCACCTTCATTTATATATTTATCGCTATGCGTATTTGTTTAATTTTTCATACAGCAAATATGAGAATGTGTGGTTTTGTGTGAATACATATAAATATGTGTGTGTGGAAAAGTGCATGTGTGTTACAGAAATAAGATTAATATGACAAAACCATATATTCCAAATAGTCACACTTGCATCATTATGTTACCTGCATCATTCTGTCCGTCGATGTAGTTGAACAACTTGCGGAACATGACGTCATTGGTGGCTTCGTGGTGAGAGATGGAGAGATGGGATGTGGTGACCCACTTCTGCGCCGGGTACACACGCTCCTCGTACGTCTGCAATCAGACCCTTGGCGTGAATTACTTGTTACACAAATTCTTTTTAATGGGGGAGAAATTCCATTAAAAAAATATGAAGCAGGAATTCTAATATCAAAAAAATTATCGGTAAATTAAACAATTTGGATTCGAAGAAACTACTTACCTCAGCAGAGTTAACCAGGTTATAAGGAGCCGATTCGATGGCCAGGGCGAATTGGCACACCTGAGGACCAAGACAACAGCTGAACTTAAGAGGCCATCATAGACTTCACTTTATTATGTAAAGTTCTGTCGGAGTATGCCTTCGTAAATCTAACTCATTTAAAATTGTTGCCTTATGAATTGAATTAGCAGCGTGAGTTGAATTTCAATGAACTTGTCATTCATAATTATGGAAAACAAGTGAGTAACAATAACATGAGCTCACCTGAGCCAAGAGTGCAAGAGCTGCGAAGGTCCTCATGGTTGGCGAGTGAGTTGAGAAGGAAGTGGCGGTCGTGTATCTGGTGTGCCTTATATAGGCCAGACTCTGATGTAAGGCGATAAGAGAAGCAGACGAGAAGATTGCAGGTTTCCCACGCTGTTTTATAAGCGGTAAAACACATCTCATTCACGTATTTGAAGACATAAATTCATGGTTCTTTTCTATATTAAACACTGTGTAATTTGGTACATAAGTATATATATAATATCCATATATATATATATACATATATATATAATATACATATATAATATATATATGTAACATATATATTTGATTATTCGTATATATATGCGTACATACACACAGGTATGTATATGTATATATACGTATATATATATATTTATATATATACATGTATTTATGTTTATTTATATATATACACTCGAATAAATAAACATGCACAGATATATATATATATAAATATATGTATATATATAATGTATATATATGTATTTTTTTCATATTTCTATATGAATATGTATATATATAAATGTATTTATATATATATATATTATATATTTATATATGTATGTATGAATGTATACATATGTAAATATATGTATATATAAATGTATATTATTTATACATATATATGTATATGTGCATTATATATATGTATATATATATATACGTATCATATATGTATATATGCATTATATATACATGTATATATGCATTATATATACATGTATATATGCATTATATATACATGTATATATGCATTATATATACATATACATGTATATTTAAATATATATGTATTTTACATATTTACGGTATATATATGTTTAAATATATATATATATATATATATACATGCATCATATATATTTAAATATATGTATATATATTATATATATATATATATATATATATATATATATATATATACATGCATCATATATATTTAAATATATGTATATATATTATATATATATATATATATATATATATATATATATATATATATATGAATATACATGTATATATAAATATATGCATATGTTTATACACACAGATATATACATATGTGAATTTATATATACATATATGCATGCATGTGTTTGTGTATGTATGTGTGTAAGTATATATATATGCATATAAACCTATATATATATATATATATATATATATATATATGTATATATATATATATGCATATATATATGTATATATATATATATACATATATGCATATATATATATATATATATACATATATGCATATATATATATACACAAACATATACATGTATATATGCATAGATATGCAT